CCGTAGTTTGAACTGATGGGCAGGTGAAACTACTGTTCGATAGCTCGACGAAAGGACGTAAAAGTTGATGTAACACTTTCTGTCCACAATGATGATTACAGCTTTATGTGTTACGCTTCGTGTGTTTACGTCATCAGAAAAGTGTCTCCTGCCGTCACCCCTCCCATGCCGGAGTTGGGATTTCACAATAACCAGTAGGGAATAAGAATAGTGCACCAGGGTAGTGTACCAGGATAGTGTACCAGGATAATGTACCAGGGTAGTGTACCAGGGTAGTGTACCAGGATAGTGTACCACGGTAGTGTACCAGGATAGTGTACCAGGATAGTGCACCAGGGTAGTGTACCACGGTAGTGTACCAGGATAGTGTACCAGGATAGTGTACCAGGATAGTGTATCAGGATAGTGTATCAAGAAAGTGTACCAGGATAGTTTACCAGGATAGTGTACCAGGATAGTGTATCAGGATAGTGTACCAGGGTAGTGCACCAGGGTAGTGCACCAGGGTAGTGTACCAGGATAGTGTACCAGGATAGTGCACCAGGATAGTGCACCAGGGTAGTGCACCAGGGTAGTGCACCAGGATAGTGTACCAGGATAGTGTACCAGGATAGTGTATCAGGATAGTGTATCAGGATAGTGTATCAGGATAGTGTACCAGGATAGTGTACCAGGATAGTGCACCAGGGTAGTGTACCAGGATAGTGTACCAGGGTAGTGTACCAGGGTAGTGTACCAGGGTAGTGTTTCAGCGTGATATGTCTGTTGTCTAGTGAACTTAGTTCTGTTGTGTAGTACTGCCGCTTGATATATCAGTTGACTAATACTGTCTAGTGATGGTTTACTAGTACTGCCGAGTGACGCTTTACGTGCACTGCTGCGTGAAGTTTTACTAGTACTGTCGAGTTATGTTTTACTTGCACTGCTGCGTGATGTGTTATTAGTACTGTCATGTTATGTTTTACAAGAACTGCTGTATGATGTTTTACCAGTACCGCTGTGTGGTGTTTTACTAGTACCGCTGTGTTGTGTTTTACTAGTACTGTTGTGTGATGTTTTACCAGTACCGCTGTGTGGTGTTTTACTAGTACCGCTGTGTGGTGTTTTACTAGTACTGCTGTGTGATGTTTTACCAGTACCGCTGTGTGGTGTTTTACTAGTACCGCTGCGTTGTGTTTTACTAGTACTGCTGTGTGATGTTTTACCAGTACCGCTGTGTGGTGTTTTACTAGTACCGCTGTGTTGTGTTTTACTAGTACTGTTGTGTGATGTTTTACTAGAACTGCTGTATGGTGTTTTATAAACACTACTAGTACTGTCCTAACTAACTACTAACTACATCGTCTCCAATTGGCTATACGTCATAAATACTGTAATATTATTTAAAAACTATACCAATCTCATCCTTAGTCACTTTCAAATACCTATTCTTTATTTCGTCGATAACGAAAACTAAAGATGGATTCGAGAATACCGTAGCGCTCTCGGGGAGTCGTCATCTTGGTTTCATAAACCTATAACGGTTCTCGTTTCATGCCACAGCGCACATTGTGAGACAGCGCAACACTGTGAGACAGCGCAACGCTGTGAGAGAGCGCACATTGTGAGGCAGCGCAACACTGTGAGACAGCGCAACGCTGTGAGAGAGCGCACATTGTGAGACAGCGCACATTGTGAGAGAGCGCACATTGTGAGAGAGCGCACATTGTGAGACAGCGTACAATGTGAGACAGCGCAACACTGTGAGACAGCGTACAATGTGAGATTGCGCACATTGTGAGACAGTGCACATTGTGAGACAGCGCACATTGTGAGACAGCGCACATTGTGAGACAGCGCACATTGTGAGACAGTGCACACTGTGAGACAGCGTACATTGTGAGACAGTGCACACTGTGAGACAGCATACATTGTGAGATAGCGCCACACTGTGAGACAGCGCACATTGTGAGACAGTGCCACACTGTGAGACAGCATACATTGTGAGACAGTGCAACACTGTGAGACAGCGTACAATGTGAGACAGTGCACACTGTGAGACAGCGCACATTGTGAGACAGCGCCACACTGTGAGACAGCGTACAATGTGAGAGAGCGCCACACTGTGAGACAGTGCACATTGTGAGACAGTGCAACACTGTGAGACAGCGTACAATGTGAGATAGCGCCACACTGTGAGACAGTGCAACACTGTGAGACAGCGCACATTGTGAGACAGTGCCACACTGTGAGACAGTGCACATTGTGAGACAGTGCAACACTGTGAGACAGTGCACATGTGAGACAGCGCACACTGTGAGACAGTGCACATGTGAGACAGCGCACATTGTGAGACAGTGCCACACTGTGAGACAGTGCACATTGTGAGACAGTGCAACACTGTGAGACAGCGTACAATGTGAGAGAGCGCCACACTGTGAGACAGCGTACAATGTGAGATAGCGCCACACTGTGAGACAGTGCAACACTGTGAGACAGCTCACATTGTGAGACAGTGCCACACTGTGAGACAGTGCACATTGTGAGACAGTGCAACACTGTGAGACAGTGCACATTGTGAGACAGCGCACACTGTGAGACAGTGCAACACTGTGAGACAGTGCAACACTGTGAGACAGCGCACATTGTGAGACAGTGCCACACTGTGAGACAGTGCACATTGTGAGACAGTGCAACACTGTGAGACAGTGCACATTGTGAGACAGCGCACACTGTGAGACAGCGCACATTGTGAGACAGTGCACATTGTGAGACAGTGCAACACTGTGAGACAGTGCACATTGTGAGACAGCGCACACTGTGAGACAGTGCAACACTGTGAGACAGTGCAACACTGTGAGACAGCGCACATTGTGAGACAGCGCACATTGTGAGACAGCGCACATTGTGAGACATTGCACATTCAAGGGAAGCGTGCAATGTTCAGGTAATGTTTGTGTAGTTGTATGTAATTATGTACATATCATCAAGTGTATTTTAAGGTCACCTCTTATTTTAATAGCTAAGTTTTAGTCTACCCTCCAATCTAACCCGCTTCACTAATACAATAGCACAGTCACCCTTGCTTCGCTGGTCTCTATTGTCTAGCCCCAGCCCCTTACTTTCAGTGACAGGGTGCATTATGGGACTGGTCAGTTTGAATTTACACTTGTATTTGACCATGTATGGAGACAAGTTGTCAGTTCATCGCTGAAATAATTCAGTCAACTGTCACAGGTTAGTTTGTTTGAACTGTATATTTATGTGTTCTTATCTAGTGCTTTGAAGGGTTTGTTAAGGTGCATATGTATGGTTTCTTAACTTCTTTTAATAGTACTTATGTTGTTAGGTGTGATAAATATATATCATATCAGTCATCGTATTCAGGTAAATGTAATTAGGCTAAATTTGCTTAAATACTTTAAGTATGTAAGTATGTTTATAACAGATAATCTTAACTAGCATTTTCATGTCGATATTACTTAACTTATTGTGTAACTAAGCCAATGAGTACATTTATTGATAGACTGGAGCTATTTACCTGTAAATTAAAGTTCTGCACCTAACTGCACATGTATGAATGTATGCCTGTATGATGAGGTGAGTGATTAGAATATATATTTTAGGGTTATTGTATATACCTAAGGATGTAAACATATTGATGTAATATGTTACACTGTAATTATGTTATATATATATTTATGTTCAGGTGTGTCCCTGTAAATCTAATGATGTCTGATGTTGTGACATCATAGGGCACAGTGCCATACACCTGGTGAGGACATTTATATTTTGTATGTATTTATGGTGATATGTACTGAAACTGTGTGTTGTGTATTAATGCATTTATCATCATTCTCCCATCATTGATAAGCTATGTTTGTCAATTTATTATATGATAAACCCCCTGTAATATTTAGAGTAAAGTAAGATAAAACTAATTACGATGGATCATAACAATGTATATGATCATATATAAGATTCTAATATTTGTTAATAAGTTATAATGTAATGATTTATTTGTATGTGTAGGTATTGTGCATATTTTAATTTAACTCTGTGTATTTATCTTCACAGGGCCTCTGTTATTTAAGCTTCTGTGTTAAACAACTGTCATCAACAAATCAACCTGCGTTTAGTGATTCATTCACCTAAACCACTACGGTTACATTTGCGAGAGATGAGTACAGGTTTTTCGACGACAGAATATAAGAGTGACATTATATGATACAAAGGTTACCACGCTTGTGTGTTTTGTGATGGTAAGTGTCCTGTATTAGGAATAAACAATATGTATATCTCGCCTAGCATCGCTCAATACAATGATTATTCCAAATACAGGATGTATACCATCCCAAAACGCAATCGCGTGATACCCTTAATATAATTGTACAACCTGTATTGTCAGCTTTAGATGCAATAAAACACAAACATCCTCTCTGTTTTCAGTTTGTTTTATTTGTCAAAAGTATATACAAATTGATATGTTAGCATGTACAAAATAAAAGACACGAAGTCTCTAGTCTCAAAACTATAGCCTCACTCACACGGATAGAAATGTACTCTATCTGAAACTAGTCACTTTGAAACGTCTCCAGAATGGGACGTAATTACACTTCTAACATCCGACACGGGATGTATTGATACAACTGACCTTCAACACGGGATGTATTAATACAACTACCCTCCAGTGCGGGATGTATTGATACGACTACACTCCAGCGCGGGATGTATTGATACAGCTGACCTCCAGCGCGGGATGTATTGATATAACTGACCTCCAGCGCGGGATGTATTGATATAACTGACCTCCAGCGCGGGATGTATTGATACAACTACCCTCCAGCGCGGGATGTATTGATACACCTACCCCCCCCACCCCACCCCCCCCCACCCCCCACCAGCGCGGGATGTATTGATACAACTATCCCCCAGCGCGGGATGTATTGATACAACTACCCCCCAGTGCGGGATGTATTGATACAACTACCCCCCCCACCCCCCACCAGCGCGGGATGTATTGATACAACTACCCCCCAGTGCGGGATGTATTGATGCAACTACCCCCCAGTGCGGGATGTATTGATACAACTACCCCCCAGCGCGGGATGTATTGATACAACTACCCCCCAGTGCGGGATGTATTGATACAACTACCCCCCAATGCGGGATGTATTGATACAACTACCCCCCAGTGCGGGATGTATTGATACAACTACCCCCCAGTGCGGGATGTATTGATACAACTACCCCCCAGTGCGGGATGTATTGATACAACTACCCCCCAGCGCGGGATGTATTGATACAACTACCCCCCAGCGCGGGATGTATTGATACAACTACCCCCCAGCGCGGGATGTATTGATACAACTACCCCCCAGCGCGGGATGTATTGATACAACTCCCCCCCACTGCGGGATGTATTGATACAACTACCCCCCAGCGCGGGATGTATTGATACAACTACCCCCCAGCGCGGGATGTATTGATACAACTACCCTCCAGCGCGGGATGTATTGATACAACTACCCTCCAGCGCGGGATGTATTGATACAACTACCCCCCAGCGCGGGATGTATTGATACAGCTAGTGTGTGACGTATGGAGAAGGTGGAATACCGCGAGATGTACGCACGCCATCTTCTTCCATCACTACACCAATGACAATCTAGTAAGGCAACCAGACGTGTAATTTGGCGGACATTGAACAGTTATTACGTTAATTTCGGCTGACTGATCTGATAGACATTCTCGTTAGGCTTTGTATTGTGATGGCGCTATCATCATGGCGAACGGTCAGCACTTTAATGTTGCTACAAGCGCAGGGTCAACCAACCGCTAGAACAATGTCTGTAATAGCGGAAGTGACCTGTTGCATGCCGGGAGGGAACAGATTCACAACAGATATATCTAACAAACATGGACAGGACATCCTTTTTACAACTAGGCTGGTCTGTGTTGTGTCCATTTACACAATGTCAAACAATTAATCAGCATCAATAATGATTGCAAATAATCACATAGTATTCATGATTGATAAGAAATCTATTATCCTGTTATCATGTATGCTTATGGCTGTGGGGTGGCATCTATACGTATTTCTCTGGCTCTTTCATACACTATTTTATAACACATGCTATATAACGCTGTCTTCCTTCTAGTGTATAACATATATATACAATGTTTATAACAACACGTTATTTAACGCGCTCTTCCTTCTATGTTACAAGTACATATAAAGTTTATGTTACATAACACACTCTTGCTTCTAGTGTATATGAAGGATATAAACTTTTATAACAACCTATGTTTGATGTAACGACCTGGGAATTCATGTCAACATTAAATTGAAAAAAACAGCTGTCCTGTTTGCTAAGCCAACCATTTGAACTGACTCCAGCAACATGTTTTAACACTCTCTTCCTTGGACTGTATATCAAGAACATACACCGTTTATAACAACATTCATATAACACATTCTTCCTTCTCATGTATATCAAGGATATACACAGTCTATAACAACATATTTTATCTATCTCTATTCATATATATCAGGTACACAACATGTTTCATAACGCACATTTTCTTCTTGCATACATCGAGGGCATATAACGTTTATAACTTCATGTTTCATAAGTAACTTTTCCTCCTTGTATACAAAGAGGGTATATAATTTTATAACATGTTTCATAACGCACTCTCCCTTCTTGTATATATAGAGGGTATATAATTTTATAACAACATGTTTCAAAAGGAACTTTTCCTTCTGGTATACATAGAGAGTATATAATTTATAACATGTTTCATAGCGCACTTTTCCTTCTTGGAGATATAAAGGGTATATAATTTTTATAACAACATATTTCATAACGCACATTTTCTTCTTGCATACATAGAGGGTATATAATTTTATAACATGTTTCATAGCGCACTTTTCCTTCTTGTTTCCATAGAGGGTATATAATTTTTATAATGACATGTTTCATAGCGCACTTTTCCTTCTAGTGTACATGGAGTATACATACATATATATAGAATGCTAAACTCGCTCACGTGATATGCCATTTTCAAATAACAGAACTATTCACGAGTTTCATATAATTGGTATAACACGGGAAGGAGTTGAGTATTTTATTTATTACTTGCCGCTTATATTTTGTTGTTGAAAATTTCACTGTTGTTTGTGAATAGACAGACATCAACGCGATCCACAGCATAATCCTATTGAATTTAACAGAATCCTAGTTCAAACTCGTCAAACGTTGACACGTATTAATTTAATACCATCCAACGGCCTACCTTTATACAGGTGATCCTAACTCCCATACTTTAACTTAAACTTACGATTGTCCTTGCGCTGCAACCGCCGTGGAACGAGGCCCTGTACCACAAATTAAAGTTTGCAATCACGTCACAATACCCTATGACGTAATTTGTTAAATTTTGTTGCAAGATCCACCGGCGAAACAATGTCATGTGACGTCAGACTCGCAACAGGGTGCTGGAATCATCGAGTGTGCATAAGCTCCTATCAGTGATCTATCATATCTACACGCAATGTCGTTGAATAAGCCGAGAGATGTTGGGAGTTTTCAATATTTGTTAGTGAAACGTCTATTCCCGTAGTACATAAGCACGCGCTTTGGTATTACACAATGTGTAATACAGCTGTATGTTTATTAAACGGGTGATCTCTTCACGGGCAAGTAATAAATAATGCTTATAACAACATATTTCATAACGCACTTTTCCTTCCAGTGTACATGGATGGTATATAATGTTAACAACAACATGTTTCATAGCGCACTTTTCCTTCCAGTGTACATGGATGGTATATAATGTGTATAACAACATGTTTCATAGCGCACTTTTCCTTCCAGTGTACAAAGATGGTATATGATGTGTATAACAACATGTTTCATAGCGCAATTTTCCTTCCAGTGTACATAGATGGTATATCATGTACAAACAACATGTTTCATAACGCACTTTTCCTACCAGTGTACAAAGATGGTATATAATGTGTATAACAACATGTTTCATAACGCACTTTTCCTTCCAGTGTACATAGATGGTATATAATGTGTATAACAACATGTTTCATAACGCACTTTTCCTACCAGTGTACAAAGATGGTATATAATGTACAAACAACATGTTTCATAACGCACTTTTCCTTCCAGTGTACATAGATGGTATATAATGTGTATAACAACATGTTTCATAACGCACTTTTCCTACCAGTGTACAAAGATGGTATATAATGTGTATAACAACATGTTTCATAACGCACTTTTCCTTCCAGTGTACATAGATGGTATATAATGTACAAACAACATGTTTCATAACGCACTTTTCCTTCAAGTGTACATAGATGGTATATAATGTGTATAACAACATGTTTCATAACGCACTTTTCCTACCAGTGTACAAAGATGGTATATATTGTTTGTAACAATATGTTTCATAACGCACTTTTCCTTCCAGTGTACATAGATGGTATTTAATGTGTATAACAACATGTTTCATAACGCACTTTTCCTTCCAGTGTACAAAGATGGTATATATTGTCTATAACAACATGTTTCATACCGCACTTTTCCTTCCAGTGTACAAAGATGGTATATAATGTTTATAGCAACATGTTTCATAACGTACTTTTCCTTCCAGTGTACATAGACTGTATATAATGCTTATAACAACATGTTTCATAACGCACTTTTCCTTCCAGTGTACATCGATGGTATATATTGTTTATAAAAACATGTTTCATAACGCACTTTTCCTTCCAGTGTACATCGATGGTATATATTGTTTATAACAACATGTTTCTTAGCGCACTTTTCCTTCCAGTGTACATAGTTGGTATATAATGTTTATAACACAGTTTCATAGCGCACCTTTCCTTCCAGTGTACATAGATGGTATATAATGTACAAACAACATGTTTCATAACGCATTTGTCCTTCCAGTGTACATAGATGGCATATAATGTTTATAACAACATATGTCATACACACTTTTCCTTCCAGTGTACATAGATGCATGAAATAACAAGATATAATGAGGTATGCATAAAACAACTAGATACAATGAGTTATGCATGAACTAACTAGATACAATGAGTTAGGCATGAAATAACAAGATATAATGAGGTATGCATAAAACAACTAGATACAATGGGGTATGTATGAACAACTAGATACAATGAGGTATGTATGAACAACTAGATACAATGAAGTATGTATGAACAACTAGATACAATGAGTTATGCAAGAAATAACAAGATATAATGTGGTATGCATGAAACAACTCGATGCAATGTGACATGCATGAAATAACTAGATGCAGTGTGTTATGCATGAAATAACTAGAAACAAAAAGGTATGCATGAAATAACTAGATACAGTGAGGTATGCATGAAACAACTAGATGAGGTTAGATGAGGTATGGCGATGGTCGACAATGATGTCGGGCAACTGGACGAGAAGAATATAGATGCTGTGTTGCTGGACAATGTGGGTGTTCAATGAGGTATGACAAGTGTAAATATGCTATCTTATAACGAACCGTGGCCGTTAAAACGACGAACACTGATATCTTTTCGGACAACGAGAAATGGGCAATGTTCTTGCACAATTATAATGCGGGATCTTTGTTGTGAAATATATATTCAAAACAGGGATATGAAACGGCTGATGTGTGTTTGAAGTACTTGAGATATGATCAGGGAATGGGCGAGTCGGATATGATTGACACGTGCAATAAGTCCTGCACATGTAGAACTGAGGTGTTCTACTGATGGGGTTTGGCGGACATTGTTATCGTTGGATGCGTGGCCATGGCTGTCGGGGGAACCACTGATGTGGATCTACCGGCTGAAGGTATTCTTCCACGTAGTTTTGACCTCTGACCTGAAGGTATTCTCTCCATGTAATGTTGACCTCTGACCTGAAGGTATCCCTCCACGCTGTGTTGATCTCTGATTTGAAGGTATCCCCTCCGTAGTGTGTGGCCTCTACCCTGAAGGCATCCCCTCCGTAGCGTGTGACCTCTGACCTGAAAGCATCCCCTCTGTGGCGTGTTGACCTCTGACCAGAAGGTATCCCGCGAGGTGTGTTGACCTCTGACCTAAAGGTATCCCCGCGAGGTGTGTTGACCTCTGACCTGAAGGTATCCCGCTAGGTGTGTTGACCTCTGACCAGAAGGTATCCCGCGAGGTGTGTTGACCTCTGACCTAAAGGTATCCCCGTGAGGTGTGTTGACCTCTGATCTGAAGGCATCCCGCGAGGTGTGTTGACCTCTGACCTCAAGGTATCCCGCGAGGTGTGTTGACCTCTGACCTCAAGGTATCCCGCGAGGTGTGTTGACCTCTGACATGAAAGAGTGGTATCATCAATGTTTTGCTAATCACGTTGTGAAAGTGGTGCAACATCTCTAGAATATTTGGCACTTTTCTGATGGGTTCATCCGAGAGTCAGGTCGGCACTTGAAGGCAGCGGCGAATGGACGGAAGTTCATCAGCGCCCCATGGACTCTGAAACACGCGTTGTACGTATATAACACTGACAATGGGTCGTGATACGGTTATGGTACTACAAAGTGAGTGAGTGAGTGTGGTTTTACGCCGCTTTTAGCAATATTCCAGCAATATCACGGCAGGGGACACCAGAAATGAGCTTCACACAATGTATCCATGTCGAGAATCGAACCCGGGTCTTCGACGTCACCAGCGAGTGCTTTAACCAAGAGGCTACCCAACCGCCCCTGGTACTACAAGAGTATGTAGCGAGATGTACATGAGTTATAGACGACTGACATTAAGTTCCAGAAATATATTTACCTTATTAAAGAATATATTCTACAAAATTCAAAAACAAGATCTAAATAGAGCGCAGAACAATAATTAATTTCAGGCTTAGACTTGTGTTGGACTCCTTTTTCAATAATTTATTCTCTTGGGTATTGGAGACAGACAAGAGTAGATATTGTAGTGGGCGGGGGTGGCTCGCGAGATGTTGAAGAGTAGATAGCCAGAAGTGTAGATATTGCTCTGGGGGTGAGTGGAGGGGATGGGGCGGAGTTAACGTGTTATGGGGTAGGGCTACTAAGTTTGGAGTTGTGAATAACACTGGAGAAGGGGGTGGGTGTGTGTGTGTGTGTGTGTGTGTGTGTGTGTGTGTGTGTGTGTGTGTGTGTGTGTGTGTGTAGAGGTAAAGGGGGGTAGAAGGGGGGGTAGGGGGTAGAGGGAGGGAAGGGGGTAGAGGGAGGAGGTAGAGGGAGGGGGAGGGGGTAGAGGGAGGGGGGTAGAAGGGGGTAGGGGGTAGAGGGAGTGGGGGGGTTGAAGGTGGGGTAGGGGGTAGAGCGAGTGGGAGGGGGTAGAGGGGTGAGGGGGTAGAGGGAGGGGGGTAGAGGGAGGGGGGTAGAGGGAGGGGGAGGGGGTAGAGGGAGGGGGTAGGGGGTAGAGGGAGGGGGAGGGGGTAGAAGGTGGGGCACTCACCTGAACCTCCCAGGAGGCGTCACCTCGGAGTCGTCGTTGATGTAGTATTCTATCAACCCTCGTCGGCTGACTTTCTCACACATAGTCTGGAAGAAAACGCCATAAAGTCTGTCAGCTCTGATATTCTGCATCAGTGTAATACGTCACTATTGTCATAGCTTTCTGTTAGACATATATTTAAACAAGTAATATATGTAAATTAATATGACTATTCTTGAAAGTCAAGTTAGTGTAGGTAATGCACGAACTGACCGCTGCATACCAGTAGTTTATATTTCACATATACAGCAGGACACACTGTCACTACAGCTGTGAGTAAGTGAGTGGTTTTATGCCGCTTTCAGCAATATTCCAGTAATATCACGGTGGGGAACACCAGAAATGGGCTTCACACTTTATACCAATTTGGGGAATCGAACACGGGCATTCGGCGTGAAGAGCGAACGCTTTAACCACTAGGCTACCCCACCGCCCCTGACTCAAGCTGTGAGCCAGAGACCACTGCAAGTCTACCAGCCCGGACTGACACAGGGGTCACGCTCTCTCCGAGCCAGTGATTAGTGTGGGAAATTCGCGCTACTGGCTCTGTCCGACTGTGAGACAAGGGTCAGATGGACCTTCCGGAATGTAATTATTAAATATTGTCGTAATCAGCCATGATTACAGTCGATAAACCGCTGACACCTACACTCAACACCCAACAGAAACGCGGTGGGCGATGTCATAAAACTGAAGGGAGGTAAAATTATTAAATGATTCCATTTTCTTTCACATGATAACATTCCCCCTAACTCGGCTAGCAATACTTGCTCGATATTCTGGAAATTGCATAAAAAGTTGAACACGCTATTACCGGAAGTTTCAAAGTTTTCCTTGGATCTCTTGTCAGCTGTTGGGTCTGTAGTTTGATTTTAACTTGGACACCTAAATACCATACTCCAACTTACTCGGGAAAACAGGTTGAGACCAATCGGTCTTACTGAGTGAGTGAGTGAGTGAGTTGAGTTTAACGCCGCTTAGAACAGTATTCCAGTTCTATCGCGGCGTGTCAGCTTAATGTGGGAGGAAAGCCCGAAGTGATGCAGGTCTCGGACGTTTACCACTTCGATGAAAACCACGAGCACGGGTATGGTACTGACAAACCTAGAAATATAATCGGGGTGAACCGGGATTCGAACCCACAACCATAGGTTTCTGGCGTGTCCAAGGGACGCAACTCTGCACAGCGAATTGCGGCGCCTTAGACGACTGGGCCACCCGTGCACCCTAGGTCTTATTGAAGCTGACACCTTGATGTCCATCAGTCCTCAGTGTACAGGCTTCAGGAACATCATCACTTGGCCAACAGTGCAGATGATGGCCACGAACCTGTCCCATCTGCGCGATGGCAACAAGAACTGCTCGAATGACGTATTGGACCACACTACGGTGCAGTGGTGACTCAGCATAACACCACTACCGCAGGCTAATTTGCATATCACGTGACCTAATGCAAGCCTTTCGGTGCGCATTACATACTGCTACTACATCTGCGACAGTGAGGTGCATAACACCATATAATCTATACATCAAAGTGGCCGTATACATCAAAGTGGTCCAACGTTTACACAACGTCATCGCCGCACACGTCAGGTAGTGGCACAATGTGATCAGAATTGACAGAAGCTCAACGCTGAACACGTTCTCGGGCGTGAACTGTGCACTCCAACTGCAAGTACTTGTCCTGTGTGCATAGGTGTAATAACAACAGCTTACCTTGCATCTACGTCTACCATCACTGTCTCACCTGTGCATAGAGTATGAAGAAGATTTGTTCCTCGCTGTACTTGAGACCGGGAATAATCACCTCTTTTGTCTGACTGGACTTGTCATATCTCCAGTTCTGTGAACAACAAGAAAGGAATAAACATCCTTATGTCATATGTGACTGTGGGGAATACTAATACGACCGCCATCTGTGACTCACGGGAATACGTCCGTCTTCTGTGACTGCCAGGAATGCGAATATGTCCGTCTTCTGTGACTGACTGGATTACGTCCGTCATTTGTGCATGAGAGGAATGCGAATACGTCCGTCATTTGTGCCTGAGAGGAATGCGAATACGTTCGTCATTTGTGACTGAGAGGAATGCGAATACGTCCGTCATCCGTGACTGACAGGAATACGAATATGTCCGTCTTTTGTGACTGAGAGGAATACTAATACGTCCGTCTTCTGTGACTGACAGGAAGACGAATACGTCCGTCTTCAGTGACTAAGAGGAATACGTCCGTCATCTGTGACTGAGAGGAATACGTCTGTCTTCAGTGACTGAGAGAAAAACGTCCGTCATCTGTGACTGAGACGAATACGTCCGTCATCTGTGACTGAGAGGAATACGTCCGTCTTCAGTGACTGAGAGGAATACGTCCGTCTTCTGTGACTGAGAGGAATACGAATACGTCCGTCATCTGTGACTGAGAGGAATACGTCCGTCATCTGTGACTGAGAGGAATACTAATACGTCCGTCTTCTGTGACTGACAGGAAGTCGAATACGTCCGTCTTCTGTGACTGAGAGGAATACGAATACGTCCGTCATCTGTGACTGAGAGGAAGACGAATACGTCCGTCATCTGTGCCTGAGAGGAATACGTCCGTCATCTGTGCCTGAGAGGAATACGTCCGTCATCTGTGCCTGAGAGGAATACGTCCGTCATCTATGCCTGAGAGGAATACGTCCGTCATCTGTGACTGAGGGGAATGCGCATAAAGGTTAAAGGTGGCTTTGATCAGCATGTAATGTCACGCAGATTTTAGTGAAAAAAATGAAATCTGAAAACCGGTGATCATGAATCACTGAATCATGAGCATTAGTATGGTGCTGACATCTCAGCTAAAACCACGAGAATAGGATCAAGACACTGTCAGGGGAAAAAACTCTACGGCGCCTCAGTTCGCCAAAAGATACATACAGATGCTTCTTTTATGTAAAACAGTTTTGTAATTATTGACATGTGGCGTGCGTATTCTTGTCCTTTCACTGTTCTTGTTTTATTGACATGTGGTGTTTGTGTTTGACATTTGTCCTCGGTTGAATGTCCGGAGACCCACTCACCTCGTAAGCAACTTTCAATGACAGGTGATCCTTCCAGTTCTCGTTTTTGGCAACAGCTCCTCTCACCTGTAACAGTGAGAGATCACGTTAGGTACATCACTACAGGTACATCATCACAGGTACATCATCACAGGTACATCACCACAGGTACATCACCACAGGTTCATCACTACAGATACATTACTACATGTACATCACAACAGTTACATCACTACAGGTACATCACCACAGGTACATCACAACTGGTACATTACTACAGTTACATTACTACAGGTTCATCACTACAGGTACATCACAACTGGTAAATCAGTACTGGTACAGCACAACTGGTACATTACTACTGGTACATCACAACTGGTATATCACTACAGGTATATTACTACAGGTACATCACTACAGGTGCATTTCTACAGGTACATCACAACTGGTATATCACTACATGTATATTACTACAGGTGCATTACTACAGGTACATCACAACTGGTACATTACTACAGGTACACCACAACTGGTACATTACTACAGGTACATCACTACAGGTACATCACAACTGGTAAATCACTACAGGTATATTACTACAGGTACATCCCTACCTGTACATCACTACAGGTATATCACTACAGGTACATCACTACTGGCCATGGTAAATCACAACTGGTACATTACTACAGGTACACCACAACTGGTACATTACTACAGGTACATCACCACCGGTACATCACTACAGGTACATCACCACATATCATGATCACCATGTTGCCCTGTCTGACTCACCTTGAACACCATGTTGCCCTGTCGGACTCACCTTGAACACCATGTCGCCCTGTCGGACTCACCTTGAACACCGTGTTGCCCGGTCTGAATCACCTTGAACACCGTGTTGCCCTGTCTGACTCACCTTGAACACCATTTTGCCCTGTCTGACTCACCTTGAACACCATGTCGCCCTGTCGGACTCACCTTGAACACCGTGTTGCCCTGTCTGACTCACCTTGAACATCATTTTGCCCTGTCTGACTCACCTTGAACACCATGTCGCCCTGTCGGACTCACCTTGAACACCGTGTTGCCCTGTCGGACTCACCTTGAACACCGTGTTGCCCTGTCGGACTCACCTTGAACACCGTGTTGCCCTGTCGGAGAATTTCGAAATTGTTGTAGAGGTCGACAAGGCACTGAAGCCTAATGGCGAGGTACAAAACCGCGCTGTCGTTCAGGATGTCGTCTGCGTAGTGGTCCAGCAACACTGAAGATACAAGAAAGGTGAGGTAAGGTGAGGTGAAAGGGGTTTAACGTCGCGTTCAAGAGTATTATCACTTATATTGCGAAGTGTACGCACGATTGTGTGTGTGTGTGTGTGTGTGTGTGTGTGTGTGTGTGTGTGTGTGTGTGTGTGTGTGTGTGTGTGTGTCTGTTTGTGTGTGTTTGTTTAACATGACTGCAAGCCGACCAGTATTTGTTTTAGCCCTTAAATACAGAGCACCAGGCAAGGTAACAACATGTACAACCTTTTTACGTCTTTTGGTATGACGCGGCCGGAGATTGAAACCCCGACCTTCCGCTCTCCGGGCCACGAATGTGGTCACAAGAAAGGTGTTGTTACTGCCATCGTGGACTTAAAAACCTATAAGAACATCAATTATCCGTAACTGTCTCGCCATGTTCAACTTACCCTGGATGTCGAGCTGGTCAGAGATGTCGCGGGCGAGGTAGGTGCCGAGGGAGGCGTAGTGGATGTAGGAGGGGTTTGGGGAGGGGAACCACACACCGCCATATGGAAACCCCAGCTCTGGAACATACAGACAAAGCATAGTTCTATATCTAAAGACCTACATAATGAAACATGTGTTCAGGGAAAGCAAAATTGTGTATGTATACAGGGCTTGCAATATCGGCTTTGAATGCTCCAGTTGTAATTAATGGACTGGAATAATAACAGTACGTATCCATCACAAAGAAAATTTGAACAGTTAATGAACAGCAAAAATAGACATATTCTTCTCAGACTTGCAGTGTGTGTTTATAAGATATTTGAAAGAAGGATAATACATTGAATATACATAAAACCATGTACACCATGTTTAGCTCCAATCTAATCAGTATACATGTGGTGCTTCACGACGAATGTTCTTACTACAAAATGTCATTGTACTATTGGCCTCATGGCCACACATACGAAATATATCAGTCTGTCTGTCTGTATAACAGTTCTATAACTACTACTACCACTACTAGTAATAATAAATACTACTGCTACTAGTAGGCCACTGGATTGTGCCCCGTGTTAAAGGGGGACTCTATTGCTACGTATAAGTAGAGGTCATCTCGTTGTAGAAGGGGTAAAGTATGTTCCTTGATCGCGAGACCTTCAACACAATAAGCTGACACATCGTCATATACTGCGGTGTTAAACCAAACTCCCCATATTGAAAACGAAACAATGCCCCTATGTCATTATCAACCATGGTGTCGTTGTACAAAACAACCTCACCACTACGACAGTCGTAAGTCTGTGTTAGGTATGGGAGTTACGATCACCTCAGCGCAAAGATCACTTTGTACAACGGCACTCTGGACACTGAAACACACGATGTATATTCGGGGCCGAATGATCTTCTAGGCATGGTGATACCAGGAAACGTTCTTCAAAGGATGATTTGGAAAGCAGCATGCTGCGTAAGCATAGAAGCAGAAAACGCTTACTATAACTACACTGACACAGAAACAGAAGGATAGAAGCCAGAACATAGATGACGTTGCTGAAGAGGGTGAATACGGCTAGGACGGACACACTGTTATCCAATCACGTGCTGGAAACATACACGGATGTTGTGAGTCCGACGTCATGTGTTATGACGTCCCTGAAACTTCAGCAAACCAAGACACCAGCCATGTTCGCGTTATTGTGTCTGTTAACGACATTGCGAGAGATGACGATAATCTTCCAGCCACATAGGGAGTCAGGTGATTGTATCTAAGTCACCTATTCCATATTTGGCTTAAACGCCAGAATTATAAAAGGACAAACTGACAGTTAAAATTGGTTTCAGTCAGGAAATACAAAATCCTAATGAGCCCAACGGTTGGTCCGTATCGGTGCCTGTCAGATGTCTAGTGGAACTGTCTGGTGACTAAACGCGTAAACACTCGTGCAGATGCTCGTCTCCAACGCCAAGCTGAAGGCCCTATGCAGTGTCTACCAAGTCAAGCTGCAGGCCTCGTGCAGTGTCTCCCACGGCAAGCTACATGCCCTATTTAGTGTCTCCCACGGCAAGCTGCAGGCCTCATGCAGTGTCTTCCACGTCTAGCCGGGGGCCTCATGCAGTGTCTCCCACGCCAAGCGACATGCCCTATTCAGTGTCTCACACGCCAAGCTGCAGACCTCATGCAGTGTCTCCCACGCCAAGCTGCAGGCCTCATGCAGTGTCTCCCACGCCAAGCTACATGCCCTATTCAGTGTCTCCCACGCCAACCTACATGCCCTATTCAGTGTCTCCAACGTCAAGCTGCAGGCCTCATGCAGTGTCTCCCGCGCCAAGCTACATGCCCTATTCAGTGTTTCCCACGCCAAGCTGAAGGCCTCATGCAGTGTCTACCAATCAAGCTGCAGGCCCTATGGAGTGTCTCCCACGCCAAGCTGAAGGCCTCATGGAGTGTCTCCCACGCCAAGCGACATGCCCTATTCAGTGTCTCCCACTCCAAGCTGCAGACCTCATGCAGAGTCTCCCACGCCAAGCTACATGCCCCATGGAGTGTCTCCCACGCCAAGCTACATGCCCTATTCAGTGTCTCCCACGCCAAGCTGAAGGCCTCATGCAGTGTCTCCCAAGCCAAGCTACATGACTCATGGAGCGTCTCCCACGCCAAGCTACATGCCCTATTCAGTGTCTCCCATGTCAAGCTACAGGCCTCCCGCAGTGTCTTCCACGTCTAGCCGGGGGCCTCATGCAGTGCCTGCCACGTCAAACTGAAGGCCTCATGCAGTGTCTCCCACGCCAAGCTACATGCCCTATTCAGTGTCTCCCACGCCAAGCTACATGCCCTATTCAGTGTCTCCAACGTCAAGCTGCAGGCCTCATGCAGTGTCTCCCGCGCCAAGCTACATGCCCTATTCAGTGTCTCCCATGTCAAGAGGAAGGCCCCATGCATTGTCTCCCACGCCAAACTACATGACCCATGGAGTGTCTCCCACGTCAAGCTACATTCACTATTCAGTGTCTCCCATGTCAAGCTGCAGGCCCCATGCAGTGTCTCCCACGCCAAACTACATGACCCATGGAGTGTCTCCCACGTCAAGCTACATTCGCTATTCAGTGTCTCCCATGTCAAGCTGCATGCCCCATGCAGTGTCTCCCACGCCAAGCTACATGCCCCATGGAATGTCTCCCACGCCAAGCTACATGCCCTATTTAGTGTCTCCCATGTCAAGCTGCAGGCCCCATGCAGTGTCTCCCACGCCAAGCTACATGACCCATGGAGTGTCTCCCACGTCAAGCTACATTCACTATTCAGTGTCTCCCACGTCAAGCTGCAGGCCTCATGCAGTGTCTCCCACGTCAAGCTGCAGGCCTCATGCAGTGTCTTCAACGTCTAGCCGGGGGCCTCATGCAGTGTCTCTCACGTCAAACTGAAGGCCCAATGCAGTGTCTCACATGTCAAGCTGCAGGCCCCATGGAGTGTCTCCCACGTCAAGCTACAGGCCCCATGGAGTGTCTCCCACGCCAAGCTACATGCCCAATTCAGTGTCTCCCACGTCAAGCTGAAGGCCCCACGCAGTGTCTCCACGTCAAGCTGCAGGCCTCATGCAGTGTCTCCCACGCCAAGCTGCAGGCCCCATGCAGTGTCTTCAACGTCTAGCCGGGGGCCTCATGCAGTGTCACCCACGTCAAGCTGCAGGCCCCATGCAGTTTCTCCCACGTTAAGCTGCAGGCCTCATGCAGTGTCACCCACGTCAAGCTGCAGGCCCCATGCAGTGTCTCCCACGTCAAGCTGCAGGCCCCATTGAGTGTCTTCCACGTCAAGCTACAGGCCCCATGCAGTGTCTCCCACGTCAACCCGCAGGCCCCATGCAGTGTCTCCCACGCCAAGCTGCAGGCCTCATGCAGTGTCTTCCACGTCAACCCGCAGGCCCCATGCAGTGTCTCCTACGTCAACCCGCAGGCCTCGTGCTGTGTTCACCACACCACTTGTTTAACAATCACCTGGCTGGCCAAAATTCAATTCTTTTCTGATTAGATTTAGTAGCTATCAACGGAACATGTGTCGTAAGAATAGGCTACGTCATCAAGGTCACGTGCTTCTACCCACGCGCAGAACAAACATCCCACACACATGACGTCATCATACACATTGACCAACTTTGTGCTGTGCTTGGAAACAAACACCTCGATATGATCTTTGACAGAAACTCACCATTCCCACACCATCGTAATGAACATTCTTCGGTGTTACACAACTTACACATCTGCACATGCGCAGGAAGAACGCATCAACATGCATGTAAATAAAGCTCAGTTATACGAGTTACGTTAAAAGTCAACCGCCTAAGAAAAATTCTTTAAAAGTATTTGTATTCAAAGACATTCCAATAAAGAAAACGTATTTATAGTCCTTAAACTGCTCTTAAGGCATTGATCGCAAAACTTGAATGGCTCGGTAAATTGATTATTTTTGGAAAAGTACAATTTAACAACCTTTGGGAATGCTTAAGCAAGAGTTTTAAAAGCCAAAAGAAGTATCTAACTTTAGCTAATGATCCTGACATACATCGTCAAGGAACGAACAACGTAAGATATGTTTTTGCACGTGAGGCGGTCCAGGTGCAGGTCACATGGTCGCGATTGGAGTTTGTATTTATCGGTGTCTGGCTCGAACTGGTTTGGATTCAGTGACGCTAACGGTACTGAAGAACTACATGTCAAACACATTCCATGATGTTAATATTTAAATACAAGACAAGAACTTAATGGACGTGTTTTTTTGGCCATTTGTAACCATTACCGCATAAAACTAAAGTGCTTATCTTTTATCCTGGAACTTGCCTGGATGTCTTTTGAACAATCATACGTTGATAATTGCCACACAATTCCCACACAAGTGAATGTAGCTCAGATACGATGAATGGAAGCAATGGTACTGGTGAAACCAAATTAATATGTTTGTGGTGATGAAGCTGGAGTGTTATGTCTGATACGCAGTGATCCTCTCGGCTCTAGGTGGTGAAGTGATCCCGCGGTGTTGGGGCATTGATCCGGCGGTCCGACACCGCTTGCCCACACAAACGCCAGTCAGATAAATAGCTTAACAAGTCAGCGCTAATCTTCAGTTACACGCCCGACATCACTACACAAACATATCAACCTCATACTCGCCTTTGAACACACACTCGCTAAATGTTAAGTCTAAATTTGTCCCGGGTTTCGCTCCAGCGCTAAAATACATGTTATCTTATTTGGTTATGTTTGAATTAGCGCTCTCGGCGACCGAACCAAAGTAACATTAGTGCGATAAGTTGTCAGGGAAATACCTGCAAGAAAAGAAGGAGAGGGGTTTTATCGCCTGAAGAATGACAAAGTAGCGTTAGTTGGACAGCGACAATCGATGCGTATTGCCAGAAAGTTTGCACAATTTATTGGTAGATTTTCTAGAGTTCGACAACGCGTGTGGGGTTCAAGAAACGTGCCATCCCCGAAGAACATTGACAGTTACTGAGAACAGCCTTAAGTCACATTTCTAAACGCCAATAGAAGTTAGCCTCAAGTTTTCTTTTAATGTCACTATAAACTATAC